AGATGTGGGGATATATGTGAGTAGCGGCCATTTTAGGGTAGCAGTGCTTTGGAAGGTAAAACAAAAATGACTCCATAAGCCGTCAAGAAAGTTCGGCTGTTATCGAGCAACTCAGAGCATAAAACACACTCAGCACATACAAGATGACATGTATATATATATATATATATATATATATATATATATATATATCAGTCATGTTTATCTGACCATGAAATATCACTGATTCTGTCAATATCAAGTGGTGTAGATATACCAATATCATTGGCAGCTTCCTTTTAATGCAAAAAATGTATGCTCACACACTTAAGTTCAGAAAAAAACTGGACCTCAATGCACCGATGGGAGGCGATACCCGAATCAACAGACTTTGAAATGGTAGGTCGCACTGTCACTTTTATACAGAGCTTACAACTGCGAAGACTTTCAAAGCCCCCGGCGTGATTCATAGGTCATCTGAAAATCCAGAAAATCCATTTCTCGTAACTTTGCAACCATGCTTATATTTCTTACGTGTTTCGCAAGCTTTGAAATCTCATTAACATGCCTCGCAAGATTTGATACCTTGCTCACATTTCTCGTTCTTTATGTGTGTTTCTTGTTGGCCAACTACCAGTGATTGTAGCTAATTTACTTGAAACTGGAAAATTTTGAAGTTTTCGAAACCACCAGATTTCACAAAGATATGACTGTTTACTTGGCGAAGCGCGGCTAAAACCGCGGAAGACTTCAATTCCACAGGAGTACACTGTTGGGGCTCCGCGTCAGCTATCACTCACGTTCTTGGGGCTGGCGAGGAGGGGTAAGTGTTTGTCCTTGCCATCTCAAAACGAGGCAGCTAGCGAGACTTATGGAGTCATGTTTTTAGTCGATTTAAGCTTAATCGGGTATAATCGCTTCTAGTTTGCAAATGACGTCCACCATTCGATTGGGCGAGTTAGGGAAGTTTGGGTCCCTTTTGAAGTAACAAGTTGAAGCCACATAACGGGCTCATTATGCAAGGGGAATGTAGCGAACGTAGCTGTGCAACTGGCTAAATTACCGAATAGCCGTTCTTTTCATTTTTCCTGCTTAGCCTTATTATGTATGGCCTATTCCCATTTACAACACAACACAAATTACTTCAGTTACAGTGAAGTGAGCGTGGCAAAGGATACATGGGTCACCATAGGATAGGCAACAGTGTGGAGAAATGCTTCATTATCAGTGCGGCAACATGCTAGAGTCGAGCTTGACTATTGTAAGAGGAGAGAAATGAGCCGCCCACGTCTTTTTCTCTCGGAGACAAACATGACTGACAACTGATGTAAATGTGCCCGCATTTGTTTTGCCTAAATGTGCTTTATCACTAGATAATCATAACAAAACGATAATAAAGTGATTGGCTTGCAGACTCTGTGGCGAAGAATGAGAAGGTTGCGATATTATCAAAGTAAGAAATAAATCGTGTTCAAATATTGGAAAGTTAGGCACAGAAGCAGCTTAGTTCGGTGATGTCGACCGTCCAACTCATTGCATGGCTGACTCTAAAGGGAAGAAACATCTTCACACAACATTTGTCAACAAAGTGGAGTGAAAACAACATTCTGTCTAACAAGGTATCTTGGGTGACCCGCTTCACATGCAGTCGAACTCTCTCCATTTCACCTTACTAGAGCTAAACTTCTACACATTCAGGTGATTTGCTGAGTCAAAATCTATTGAACAATGCGGGCTAGAACCGCACCGCCATACCTCTTGACTTGTCACTGTCTGCTGAAGTAAAATGCTCAGAAAAGGAGGGTGTGCGGCAGACAAATCATGCCTCCAAAGTCCAGATCATGTCTTACAAACAACGAGGACTTTATATATACCCATATATAAATATAACTTTTGATAGATTTAAAGGGATAGAGGTGGTCAATAGAAAGACATGAAGAGCATCTCAGTTTCTGAGCTGAACTGAACGTGACGACTTTAAAACGTTGCTTGCATTACATCCGGGAAGAAAAACGATTTAGTTAGGGAAAACGCTACTCAAAGATACGCTAATGGAAGCAAAGGCTATAAGTCACACAGGAAATGGCTATGCCAAAACACATTAATCATATTCAGCAGAACTGGTGGATTAAGGAAGACAGAGAGGTCACTTAGCCCCGTCAACACCAAAAATATTGTGGTGAATCCAATACCGCCAAGTGGAAAGCAATGACCAACAACACGAATTTATCCCCTCCCCTAATTCTAACAATGTGCTCCACAGCCACTAATAGAACACGAAAACTGAACCACGTTTTCTGACGGCACATTCCAGCTAAAAGCCACCTAGGTCAATGACCTGATATTATTTGATTTTGAGCCTACGCATGCCGTGTTATATTAGATAGCGATAAGACAAAAAAAAAACCTGCAAGTGTAATGCCGTTGGCGCAAATGGCTCTACAACTATTCCAACAAATGACATGGCTGGCTAATTGCGCATACCAAACAAGACAACCGTTAGCATAGCTGGTGAATGTGTGGATTATACTCCCCAAGAATGTCGTTTATGTTTCTCCTGAAGAGTTGTGCTGCCAAACGATTAATGATGCAGGTACGCATGACAAACCATCGAACGCCGAATGGAATACTTTGAATTGTGAGTTGTGCTGCCAGGCGATTAATGATGCAGGCACGCATGACAAACCATCGAACGCCGAATGGAATACTTTGAATTGAAATGCATTGGACAGCATTCGTGTCATAACTTACATTTGCACTGCACACCAGCTCTGAATCACAGCTTACCAAATCGCATAATAATTTCCATATCAGGTTCTCCATGGACCATGGGTAAAACATTATACCGATGTGTGAACAATACCTCGCCTGTTTGCGTTCATAAATGTATAACAAGCTCGCAACGCTTCTGCAGGTCCACACAATGCTCGTTCTGTATCCACAATGAAGGGCTGGAGCTTCCTTGGGAGAACAGACAAGTACCACCACGAGAACAAAACATGTACCGGTCACAACAAACTACTTAATGACATCCCTCCTTCGCATTTAAACACAGCTTTCAGTTTGCAATGCTCGTAGAGAAGAACAGCCATTTGTCACACAGCATCTCGGCAGGTGACAATCCCACTCGCTGGCCATGCCAGACAGATCGTCGGCGACTGCCCGCCCTTCCTGCCTTACCTCATCTCGTTATTTGCCCTGCGCACGCCACTGGCGCGGGCTCCACTAATGGCCCGGAGCAGCAATAGCAATCTGGCCGGGCCGAGCGGGCCGCTCATGCCTCATCCCCGCCGGGTCGGCCCTGATCGCCGGGCGAGCGATGTGCTGATTACCGTATTGGTATCCAAGGGGTAAACACCTGCGGGCCGCGGACGGCCATGACCGGCGGCTGACGACCGCCCGCCCGCCCACCGGCGGCGGGTGCCATGCGGGGCAGGCGGGGGAGGGGGAGGCAGATGAGCGGCGCTGAATCGACGAACAGGCGCCCGGGGGAGCATCAGGTTGGCAGGGGACGGTAGGGGGGGGGGGGGCGATCATGCAGCAGACCAGACGGCGAGGGAAGCATCAGGTTGCTGGCCTGGTCGATGACGTGGGAGGGCGCGGGGTTGTCAATGATCCTCCGCCGCCCATCTCCATCAGTGATTTGTGGTGCGAGGGAGGGGCGGACCAGGACCTGCTCTGACTCCAGGGATCGTGATGGAGGCTCTAACAGACACGGTGGTGACGGTCAGGATGGGAGTCGGAGCGCTGCGGTCCGCTGACAGTACTGGTGGAGGACAGCGGGCCCCGAACGCTCGAGTACGCCACCCTAATTCTCTGAGGCCGGAGCCTGTGACAATGAATGCTGGAAGCTGTGAGTTCGTGATGGTAGCGCGCCGAAACCTTACGTCCATGACTGCGAATCCCGAAGGCTGTGGATTCGTAACAATGGACTGTTGAACTGCTTTAATCTATGACATTGGGTAATCTTTCATATTGGGTGGCGTCCTGAAGCCGGCAGTCTTGTAAGTGGCTGTCCCAAGCCCGCGAGCCCACGACACATCGGTCACCGGCGCTGCTCAGTTTGCGGCAGCGTGGTGCGATTACAGCCCTAATGCTGTCGATCAGGGGCGGTATGTTCGGCATCTGGTCTGCAGCGGCGGAACCCTCAGGCCGTACGTCCGCCAGAGTGGAACGGTGTAAACGACAAAACGGCGAGTGCGTCTCAGTGTGCTCCCGACACCGTAACTCCTTGTCTTGGAGGCCGCGAGCTCGCGCTAGTGAACCCATGGTGACTGTGCCGCGTCACTGAGCTCGCGGAGGCCGCGAGTTTGCGTCAGTGGGCCCACGGCGGCCGTGCCGCGTCACTGAGCTCGCGGAAGCCGCGAGCTCGCGTCAGTTGGCCCGCGGTGGTCGTGTGCCCCCGTGAGTGCGCTTACGGACGGCGTGAGTTCGCGTCAGTGGGCCCGCGGCGGCCGTGCCGCGTCACCGAGCTCGCGGAAGCCGCGAGCTCACGGAAGCCGCGAGCTCGCGTCAGTGGACCCACGGCGGCCGTGCCGCGTCACCGAGCTCGCGGAAGCCGCGAGCTCACGGAAGCCGCGAGCTCGCGTCGGTGGGCCCACGGCGGCCGTGCCGCGTCACCGAGCTCGCGGAAGTCGCGAGCTCGCGTCAGCGGGCCCGCGGCGGCCGTGCCGCGTCACCGAGCTCGCGGAAGCCGCGAGCTCACGAAAGCCGCGAGCTTGAGTCAGTGGGCCCGCGGTGACCACGAGTCCACCGTGACCGCGAGCTCGTGACGGTGAGCCCGTGCTGACCGCGGTCCGCGTCACCCGTGATGCGGCGCTATGGATCGGTGACGGCGGCGAGCGGCGCCGGTCCGTGCGGGCCCGGCCGGCTGTCGGCGCCTGTGACGCCACCGCCGCCAACCGACCTGGGTATTGATTCGCGCCAGATGCACGGCACGGGCCGGCCGCGGCGCGCCGCCAGTGCAGACACGGGCGCCTCGATGGCCGGCGACGCGCCGCGGCCGCCGAGCAGCGCGCAGATATGGCCCACCAGCCGGCCAACAGCAGCAAGGTGAGGCCGCCGCGCATGGGGACGGCGGGGATCACTGGTGTGTAGCACGCCTGGCGCCTGTATTCGTGAATTCCGTTGGACTGAAGACAGGGCAAGATGTAATGGCATCGCGGTAATACTTTCGTGGCTCAGATCCGCTCCTGGATGCCAATCTTTCCAATTACTACGATGTTTACCGTGCGAAATAGATAGGCACGTTAGCTCACCAGGCAGGCAATATACCATACTTGGTCCAAGGCGACAAATGCATAGCAGCTTGATGAAGTTCAAACATTTGAATCGCATTGGGATCACAAAAAGTGTACTGATTACTACTTTTCTGGAACCAACATAGCATTATTAGTGGTCATATCAGCTCTTAAACTCCTCCAAAATCCACATCAACTGACATTTTGTGCCTTGCACGATTTTCATCGGCAGCAGCCCTATATACTTCAAAGAGATTGTAATGAAGGTTCATGAAAATAGTACTATCATCTGCAGGCCTTCCGCATAACTTATGCTGACGCGAAACTACAGAATTCTTGCATTTTAAGTGCAAAAGAGAAGACAGACCAATAGAAAGACAGATGTTTAATCAATATGGAGCGCATCCTACAACGCTCTACGCGCTGAATTCCAAGCGAGCTTCCGTTCGGTCCAACACTTCTAAATGAGCGGCTAGACCAGCGTTCTGCTCGGTGACGCGCTAATTACTGCAAATTTTACACAACGCCACGCGCATTGGGCTGACTATACGGGATCAAATAGCCGTGGTGTGGTTAAAATATATGACATATTTGGTGCTGCGGTGCTGGCGGTCAGACTGAGCCCCGACCCGTGGCGCTCGAGCGGCGGTCAGACTGAGCCCCGACCCGTAGCACCCGAGCGACAGTCAGACTGAGCCCCGACCCGTGACGCTCGAGCGGTGCTCAGACTGAGCCCCGACCCGTGGCGCTCAAGCGGCGGTCAGACTGAGCCCCGACCCGTGGCGCTCAAGCGGCGGTCAGACTGAGCCCCGACCCGTGGCGCTCAAGCGGCGGTCAGACTGAGCCCCGACCCTTGGCGCTCAAGCGGCGGTCAGACTGGGCCCCGACCCGTGGCGCTCGAGAGGCGGTCAGACTGGGCCCCGACCCGTGGCGCTCGAGCGGCGGTCAGACTCTCAATGCTGCGGGACTTTGACAGTACCTGGAAGTGCTTTCCGCACGACTTCATGGAAAGTCGATGCCAGCCCATACTTACCAGTCCCAGTGCGTCCAGCCTGGTGCCGTCCCCGGAATCCATGCCATATTTTTATACGATGCCACATCTTTAATACCTTCATTGATTGGGCGCGTGTGCGCTGTTTGCGTGATAAGGCTGGGATGAGGAGCGAGCATGCCCGCTTACATGTTCCACCATTAAATGACGAATACATACACGAGTGATGTATGCATCGTCTGGTGTCTTGGCGGAAAATCATGCGGCAGTTTCAACCAAGGGGCGGCAGACGAACTTTTGTAACGGGTCGCTGGGTGATGCATATTGCATAACGCAAATAAATCTGGATTTGTTTTCGTTTCCAGGTGCTGCGTGAGGATATAGCGTAGTAAAATGCACACAAGGCCAGCCTCGTGTGCCACCGTGAGGCATTGGCGAGACCCATGTACAAAATGACCGGGAGTTTTCACTCTGCTCTTGATGGTGCATCAGTTTGCACTTGTCAAGATGAAGTACGCCAGGTATAACACATTTAAACCACATACGGGATGTTTGCAATCATGCGTTTTAAATATCACATAAGTTATGTAAAGTTTATAACAATAAACACAAGTTGACGTGACACAACATTGTGCTATGTAAATCTTAAGCTGAAGTTACCACAACACTAAACTACATAGAATGAAATTAATCCATCCTGCTATCCAGCGTCTACCGCAACCTAAGTCAGAGCGGCCTTGCACTGGAGCGGAGGCGCTGAGCCCCGCAGGATATGACGCGCGACAGATGAGCGCTCTGGGGACGATGCATGACGCTCTGGGGACGATGCATGACGTTTGATCGCGCCGGGGACGATGTACGTCAGACCGCGCCTGACTGACGCCCCCGGCCATCGGTTGCACTCCTGCGATGGGGAGGGGGAGGGGGAGGGGAGGGGGAGGGAAAGGGTGGCAGTGGCACAAGTGCACCGAATCTAGGTACGCGTGCATGAAATTTGGACATCACATTCCGTGAGGGAATGCTTGAAGAAAGCATGCACTCTGGTGACACTTCAAATCGCAAATCCACAAGCGTTCCTTTCCGAAGACTAGGATCCGTGGTGTGGCTGGAGGGTGGCAAGGTCGCATTCCCCGACCTACTCAATCGTGAGAACTACACTGCAAAAATTGGCTTTGTATGTGTCGTTGAACGTGTAAGTTGAAATGCTTCTTCCAATTCGTCCCTGTGATATTCATAATTGGGCTGACGTGCTTAGAATTCCGTCAGTTTCTAAGGACGCCGCCTTATCCGACATAATAGCAGCTGTCATCATTCATGCAACTCCATAGTTTGCATTGTGGTCTATATGTACAGGTCTTGTTTGGCTGTTCATGTTCACATGGCTTTCATGTTTTTTTCCATGTATGTCTTTACACTCAAGAAATTTTCGTATATTGTGTTCAAAGCGTATCTATGCCATGCTATCTTCAAAGCCAATGTGTTGTAAACGTGAAATGTGTCATTTGATTGAGATGACAACATGCTTTAGGTTTGAACACCTATGAACCCAAATAAAGGGATAAACAGTAACCTGTCACCTTTCTAAAAATGTGATGTTCATACCATCAGTGAAACCAACGATCGTAACACGAGCTTTTTTAGTTAACACGTAACGCTAGTGAATCAAGTTCTGCATACGCTTTTTCATATTTACCACTCGCCTTGACATCCAAGTGTGGGTTTCGGACAGCGTTATGCAGGCCAACGACGGAACGCGCCATGGGTTCGCCAATACCTGAGAAGACAAATGGATTGCGTTGACTGGAGTTTAGGAGTGATGAGGTTGTCACCGGTGCACACTGGGACAGTCCCTGTTGAAAACGCGGAAGCAGGTTAACACCTACGATCTGATTGCGAGCCAGTCCGATACAGCAGCCACGGCATGAGGACGGAGTACCTTAAGTGGCACGTTTTGCTTGAAGGTGGGTAATTTACATCTTGTGACTCGGTAGTCATATGTCCACCCACAGAATTGACTCAAACACTTCATCTGTCAATCCGAGCAATATGTTTACAAATAATGAGGTCCTTTATCTGATGTCTGCGAAATAAAAATACTTTCCGTAATTTAGCATAATAGCGATATATGCAATAAAACACATATGTCAGACACTTTGTTATGAGTGAACCACAAAGCTGAGAGTATCCTGGAGGGACGCTGCCTCCTATGGGGCACATTGCTAAAACCATGATGAATTCGATGATTCAGTGCCTCATGACTTTTTATAATCACGATTTAAAGCTCCACAAAGAATTGCTTACCACAAAACACCCATATATTCTAGCTGAAAGAATCGGAAATGCTCAACGCTATGGCATGTAAGACCTTCGTGATCGCAAAAGGCGCATTGAAGGCATTTTCAAGTACAGCGTAATTGTTATGTGTGTTACACTTACCAAGCCCAGACGGTTGCAGCGTCGAGCAATGGGGTTGTCAAGTAAAGACCGGTGCTTTGAAAAATACGATGAGGCTGTGGAGGGAAGTTTCAGCCCGAAAGCCAAGCGCAGGGCCCAGAAAATGTTTTTGGGGCACAGGAAGCGCGCTACACGAGAGCTTAAGTCGTTTTTGCGTAGCGAACGCGTGACCTAAATGTTTGCTAATTTTGCAGATGCGGATTCTGTGGAAATATTCATCCAGAGCACTTGCCTTAGACCCCAAATTGTTGCTCTGCGTATTTCGCCTATTCTTCAATTTGCGAACTTCCATACGTACTCAGGCTACACCTAACACTTATGTTCTGTGCTTCATTATCCAACGACAGGCTGGCAGGGTATCCCAATGTATTCTAAAAGTATGTGTATTAATTATACCTTCCTTCCTTACCCTGCAGAAAAGGATCTCACCCCTATTGCGTCACTGCAATAAATCACTGCCCGACACTAACTGCCACAACAAAACCAATGAAGACAGCAAGGAAATTCGCTGCCAAACAATATTACAGAAAGTGTTGATCAGAAGCAATTAATGAAGGTATCATATGAATAAAGATCGGTCGTCCATTTGCCTCACTTTAATTCCCAAGCGCTGCATAAACTATTGTTGTTGTACACTGTTGCGTAAAGTACCATGGACTACTGTCTGCGTGCGTTGTATATGACAGCACGATGGCGCGGCAGAGGGCGCAATGAACGGACCTACCAGCAAGTGACGTAGCTTCACTGTGCAGTCTCCAGTATAACTGGTTTGAAGGATTTTTGTTGTTGGAATATCTGATGAAGGCACGGGGGTTGATGTGCGCCGCCGGAAAGCAATCTCACCGTTCGCGGAAGTGGTAACAATTTTTTTAGATTTTATTGGTATTAAACTTTTGTGTTGCCAGACTGTCGCATTCATCGAGCAAAGTACATATGCTCGTATTCTGTGGCAATATAGGTCAGGTAATATAGGTCAGGTAATTCCGAGTGAGACAAATCAAATACAAAGCTTACGTAATTAGGCTATGTGTCGTGAGTAAACTTCGTGTGCCTTGGTGTATGTCGCGATCGCGTAATGTTCAGTATATCTGAACGCAATTAAGTGACAACTGAGTAGTCAGTGTATCAGTGATGCAGTCTTTTCAGTGTGCTGTAACTTCTAGTCTGGTTTCACTGAGGCTCCGTGCGCCAATGCGCGAGCTTCACTTGGTTACAGAGTTTTATCTGGCGTGTGTCAGAAACGAATAGAAAATACAAATGTCTCAAGAGTTCTTATTTATCCACCGGCGATGGCATTAGTTCCACGACCAAATCTTTGTTAATGCCAACGTTGGATTGAAGACGGGCACAGCGAGCTAACCCCATTA